ATGGGCAGTCTTCTCAGACAAAAACTCCAAAAAGTGATTTTTTAAGGCACTTGTCGAACAAAAGTAACGATTTTTACGGATTTTGTTATAAAATTATCATTTTTTGTTCGAGAGGTACCTCAAAAAATCACTTTCATGAGCTGTAGACTGGTATCTCCCAATATTTTCACAGAAAAAAACTTTTTACTAAGTTACCTACCCAAAACCGTTCTGAAAATTTAATGGCAGCTTCATGACGATGAAACGAGACTCTCAGCCAATTTTGAGCGATATCTCGTGGAGGCAAATTGAGTTATTATCAAAAATGTCACCAATCATGGAAAAAACTCGAAAAGTGATGACCAATAAAATGTTGAAATATAATTTGAAGAAATCTAAGTAGACTATAGTCTTAAAATGAAATAAAGAATCATTAAATAAAGAACTATAAATCTAAATAGTCTAGGTTTACTTCTCTTCATTGGTTATGGGCCATTAATACTAGGGGAATTATGTGTAGGTTGACCCGCACTAATCATTTTCGTCATAACTTTTCATGGAATAAAGATAAATGCACACTTGATATACCATTGGAAAGAGAGCCGAAAAAGCTACAATTTGATTAGGAAATTCATTAGCTATGGTTGTAAAAACAAAATATTTCGGTCAATTTTCTAAGAGGTCTGATTTTTGGCAATAAAATTTTTTCTTTGTAAGTTGACCCACCCTATTTTTTTTTAGAAAAACATGCAGTATAAACACTCAATATATGAGATTCATTGAATTTCGTTGGATTTTCAATCGTTTTTGGTCTGTACAACTACGAAAAACAATGAAAAAATTTAGAAAAATATAGAAATTGTAAAAAAAATACATATTCTCTATTTTTTCATATTTCATCGATTTTTTCGTGTCTTTCAAGTTCAAAAACGATTGGAAATTCATTAAAATTCAATGAATCTCGTATATTGAGTGTTTACGCTGAATAGTTGTCTCATTTTCCTGATTTTTTTTCGGGTGGGTCAACTTACAAAATTGGTCGACATTTCAATATGCACGGAAAGAATTTCGCCATGTAACGATATGTGTGAAATGACTTCGGATTATGAAAATACACGAAAAACTAGTGAAGAAAGCTTATACTCGCTTTGCTGATATCTTTGAAATTGTCTGCTTGAAGATGGTCCAAAAAAATTTAGTTTTTATAAAAATGATTTTTTTTTTGCAAAAAATTTTTATGAGCCGATCCGAGCCGTTTAAGAAGCGTATTTACTCTTGGGAACTACTTTTTTATATATATTGGTTTTTGACGTTTCTAAATCGATTGAGACTAGCCAAATTGACGATTTGTCGGTCAAAATACAAAATCGGCGGGGTGGGTCAACATACAAAGTGGGTCAACTTACACATACTCCCCCTAAAGAGAATAAAAAGCCTTTTTGAATCCTAAATTCGAAATGTTTAAAAAAAAAAAAATAAACAACAAAGAAAAAATAATTTTAAAAAAAGAAAGAAAATATCCACACAAAAAAATGAATAACAAAAACCATATTGAAAAACTCAACAATCATAATTATTTCTCATGGAAATATCAAATGGAGTTGACACTGATCGCTGAAGATCTATGGGAAGTTAAAACTAACGAAGCCCCAGAACAACAAGGAAGAGCACTTAATCGTTGGACAAAGAAAGACAACAAAGCCAGAGCTCTAATTGGTTTGGCAGTTGAAAAGGATCAATTAGTTCACGTAAGAGACAAGAAAACTGCGATTGATACCTGGAATTCGTCGAAAACTATCCACGAAAAAGATACTCTTACAAACAAAATTTCGCTGTATTAACGCATCGCACAACTTAAACTGAAGAAGGATGATAATATTGAAAATCATATGAGTCAACTCATCAGTCTGTTCCAGAAATTGGAAAATCTTGGAGCTGCAACGGACGAACAATGGAAAATCGGTATGATTTTAGCCAGTCTACCAAATATCTTTGCTCCTTTAGTAACTGCTCTGGAAGCTCGTGAAGAACAAGATCTTCCAATGAACCTAGTACAAATGGAAATACTAGACGAATACCAGAGACAACAAGAATCAATTGATGATGATAAAATTGTCGAAGAATACACTGTCTATCTGTGTAGAGAAGGTGTGATCAACCAACGACCAGAAGAGACAAACATCGATGTTCGTCGACTGCATTTACTTCACTTTGTGAAATGAAACAACAAAAAGATTATTTCGAAGAGTCGCCATGAGTAAATGCATTTATTTCTGACTCAAACGTTCATTTTTGGTAGGTTATCCCGGTTTGTTGCGGTCTTCACGGAACTGATAAAAGATAACAAATTGGTGTCTTCGGCAAAGTTTTAGTACTCGACGTCTTCTATAACTTTTCCCAGACAGTTATCTCTTAACTCTTATCAGTTCCGCAAAAACCGTGAAAACCAGTGTGGCTATACGGTGTGCCAAAATACTTTCTTTTCACGCAATCAGAATAAATAGAAAACAAACTTTTCTAAGTATAATTCGAAAAAAAAATCATGTGTACATTCTTCCCCGTCTCACGACAGATGTCCAAGTGTGAGCAACCAGCATGGTTTTATGTCAAACCGAAACATTCAAACGAATTTGATGGCCTTCACAATTAAAGCAAATGAAGCTTTTGAACGCAAAGCACAGTTGGATGTCTTTTACGCGGACATAAAGAAGGCCTTCGATACTGTTAATCAATCCCTGCTAATGCGCAAACTGGCCAATTTCCCTCTTAGTAACCAAGTTCTTTCCTGGATCAAGTCGTACTTCGCAGGACGCAAACAATTTGTGCGTGTTGGATCAGCAACATCGGATGCATCTGAGGTTCCGTCGTCGGTTGGACAGGGAACAGTGCTTGGTCCACTATTTTTCTCTGCATTTTTCAACGACTCCGACTCTAATGATGATCCAACAGTTTCTTTTAACTTCGCAGATGACAAGAAGAAATGCCACATTGTAGTTAAACCAGAAGACTCAATCATTTTGCAAGAGAGCATTGACAAATTTCTATCATGGTGTAAGCAAAACGGTCTGGAGCTGAACATCTCGAAATGTTGTATCATGACATTTTCACATCGTCGTAGCCCC